CCCCAAAACCCCAAAACCCCAAAACCCCACGAATAAATTATAGCTGCTAAAGGAGTAATTTAGAAAATATATTTTTTATGATAAGTTGAGAGTAATTTTGGTTTAATTTAAACACTAATAAATTGTATCCAATGTAAACGAGAGATATGAATGAGCCTTTTCTGCAAAGATAGCACAAGCATGAACACGACCCCTATGCTCATGCTGCACACTTTGAGCGACCTAGATTTGAGAGCTATAGTGATACTACATTACAAGTACTTAGACTCATTATGGTTCTCTTGATAGTTGCTATCTATGTTGCCTCCTTCTTTATGCAACCATTTTATGTCCATTATGTCTACATCACCTATTGGGCTATGCATCTCTCTCTGATATCCTTAATACTTTCATTCGCTTCAGGATAAGATAAGCATAATTTAGTGATGAGAGAATGGTCTTTGGTTACCACTGAGATTGCACTAACTCTTACTATCGTAGCAGCAATATTCTACTGGGCTATCGTCAGAGATGAAATGTATCAGAATTATGATTGGAGTAAGCCTTAGGAGAAACATTTCATGATATTTCTAAGTTTCTTACATCTAGGACCATTATTGATGGTGTTCTTCAATTTTCTCTTATCTGATATCAATTTCTTGAAAAGAGACATTGGGATGATCATCCTTTTCGGTGTAGGCTATGTTGTATTCAACTTTTTGGTGAGTAAACTATCTGGAGTTCCTATCTATCCATTTATTACTTGGTACAATGTCAAATCATTTGTATCAGCAATCGTTTTCATTTTAGTGCTTGGAGGCATATATATGGTCCTAGTATTCTTGAGTGCAATGCTCCCCAGACTAGAGAGAGGGTATGAAGCTGACAGATTAAATATCTGACTCTTTCTGTAACCCTAGATAATGATGAAATATTTATTCTCTTTGATTTAGTAATCTTGATTTGCTTAATTTACTATTCTCCTAAATTACTTATCATATTTGGTGTTGGGGTTTTGGGGTTTTGGGGTTTTGGGG